AAACTTAGATATCATGGTTTAAGTGCTTATCACTTTAAGCACAATGCTGCAGGCAATTAGCCGATTAAGGGTGCGGTTAGAAGTTACAATATAAGGAAGCATTAGAAGCTGGAAAGCTTACTCTGCGACTAACTGTGTCTTACTGCGACTAACTGTGTCTTACTGCGACTAACTGTGTGTTACTGTGACTGTGCCTGTGACTGAGATGTTCCTGTCTGCTACTGTTTGCTGATTTACTGCGTAATTCTACTGTTCTACTGTTTGAACTTCTTGCTGAATATCCAACGATTGTTCCTCTGGAGAGAGGCACCGGAGGAGGAGAAGATATCTTTATCGGCTGATAAAGATATTGCAAGGACTCTTAACTTGGACTATACTAGTGAGTCTTACTGGATGGAAATACTGTGAATGACTTAATGGACTGAATGACAATGCTTTAAACTCTAAATGGATTAAAAACTATTTAAACTACAAACAGTGTTTGTGTTCAGTGTGTGTATACTCTGGGGCCCTTCCACTCTCGTTTGGCTGCCTGGTTTGACTACTGCTGCAATACTCTGCTAGGGGTTAATCCCCAAACACTAACATGCGCAGCCTGGATTAATTGCTTTGGGGGGATGCTCTTGGGGTGAGATTTCTCTGCAGCCCACCAAAATTTTCTCACGGCCCACCAGTGGGCTTCAGCCCACCGGTTGTCGACCGCTGGGATAGACTACAGGGATGTCAAACTGGCGGCCCACTGGCCGGATGTGTCACATGAACCCCACGTAGGAAAAATCATGAAACATCACGTGACAACAACATGACGACACAAGTTTGACACCCATGGGATAGAAAGTTTATACATATAGAACATTTCTACAATTTAAATTGTGATTTCACTGTAATGTCCTGATTGAATCTTTGAGACAGCGCATGCAAACATTGTAGTTTAAGATTTGGACAAATTGTTGCTCTCTTTAAGTAGTACACTCACTTGACCAATATAGTGACTAAGGTTCACTCAAACAATTAAACTTGGTTTAAAAGATCATCCTAAAGTCTATCTAATCTAACTTCCTGTTTCTTTTTTCTTTTTATTGGTTTTTAAAACAAACATAAACAACAAAACATAAAAACATCAAGCCATCTTCCATGTATATACATACAGTGTGCCGGTTGGTTTACAAATTGTTTTGTGCTTCCATTTCGTAGTCTTCAATTACAATTACATTGTATATATTCTCATATTTTCAATCAAGTATTAAATAGATTAATATACCGTATATACTCGAGTATAAGTCGACCCGAATATAAGCCGAGGCACCTAATTTTACACAAAAAAACTGGGAAAACTTATTGACTCGAGTATAAGCCGAGGGTGGGAAATGCAGCAGCTACTGGTAAATTTCAAAAATAAAAATAATTAATTTGGGAAACGATCTCACTATCATGAAAGGTTTAATTGATTCACTAACCCAAAAGAAGAAGATGATGATGACAGCGGGAGGCAGGAGTCACTCTCTTCCCCTCCCTCGGAGGCCCCCTGAGTCAGGAGTCACTACCGCCGGCGCGGCCCCAGTCCCGCCGCCTCGGGAAGGGAAAGGCAAAGCGCTTTTTGCCTTTCCCTTCCCGGCTGGGGCTGTTGGGAGTCGCTGCCGCCGGAGGCCGCGACTCCACACCATTTTTTTTTCAGAGGGGAATCTGACTCGAGTATAAGCCGAGGGGGATTTTTTCAGCACAAAAAATGGGCTGAAAAACTAGGCTTATACTCAAGTATATACAGTAATTATTAATCAATCATTTGACTATATTTTTATTCATTCATATTTTACGAAATAATCATATTTTACTTAATTTGTTTTATGACAGTTCATATTATCATCTCAAATCTATCCTAGAATCATTTTGTAGATATAATAAGAAAAGAATACATCTTTATATATTTATTATTTTCTAAGAATCTACATAATTCATTACTATGTTTTATTGTCTAACCATTGATAGAATAGATCCCAAATTTTATAAAATTGTTTATTATCTTCTTCTCTGATTTCAAATATCAATCTACTCATTTCAGCACATTCCAATATTTTCTTAATGATTTCCCCCTGTGATGGTATTTTCTCATTTTTCCAGTTTTTAGCAAATACAATCCTAGCTGCTGTTAATACATTTACAATCAGATATTTCAAGTCTTTACTATATATTTCAGGTAAAATTCCCAATAAAAATATCTCTGGTTTCAAATCTATATGCTTTTTTGTCATTTTTTCCAACCAATGTGGATTTTAGTCCAATATTTTTTAGCGTCCGTACATGTCCACCACATATGGTAATATGAGCCAGGTGTCTGATGACATTTCCAACATTTTTCAGATTTATTCTTGAACATTCTTGCTATTCTTGTCGGGGGAGTAACTTCCTGTTTCTGACAAAAGGTAGTTGGATGCAGAGTAGTCATAAGCAGAGAACTGAAATAATAGGCATTTTTATCTTCCATAGTTCATATTGATAGGAATCTGGTACAGTACTCTTTATTTGGCAGTTCTGTTTAGGTGCTTGCAATGACTAGTATTTTCAAAAAATATACATGTATCTATTTGGGAGTAAAGGAATTTTAAATCAGGAAAGTTACCGCTTAGTCATCCATGAATATGTCAGCAGAGTTGCTTAAGTGCTATTTTATAAATATGTTATATATTTTAAACATTCTTAAATGCATATTTAATTGCTTTGCTATTTTTGTTTTGTTCTGTTAACTGCCTTGGGCACTACTTTTGACTAGAAAGGCACAGTGGAGAATTAAATAGTAGATACATAAGTTTGTCTCTGATATTACACTCAAGAGAACAGTAGTTTGTTCATGTTCTGTAACTTTTTTCATGAGATCTGAATAATTCTCAGTGATCAAAACAACACACTATCCTTGCTTTTGGAATAGGAAATCATAGTTGCCTCAGTGAATTTACATCAAAAGCATTTCTTTGGCTTATTTTCAAATTTAAAAGCAAAGGAATCAACACATGATGATGTATTTTGAAGCCAATAGGTTATAAACTAATGAAATCTGTAATATGAATTTATAGAGTTGATGCTGCTAGTATTTCTTGTGATGTACAGATATATCCACTACATTTGAGAGAAAATATAGTTTGCTATTTTTTTTCTGCAAGTATCAGCCTTCTTCAGATTGGAACATTGGCCTGATATTTAGTGGAGGAGGAATATTAAAATACGCATAAGTTATTGTTTGACTGCCAGATTAAATTACTGGAGGCTTTGTTAGCATTTTATTGCTGTGATTTCTCTTGTGCTTTTTTATAGTACAGAATTTATTATGTGAAAGGCCTCTTCAGTGTTGATGGAGACCACACTGAAATGAATAATGATGCTCAAAATATGATTTACTCATTATACAACAGTATAGGATATTTTACACGCATATGAGCTTGGGTATGAGTTTCTGATTAGACTTTATTTCTTTATCAAATCACATTGAAATAGATCTTCCATCTAACTAGTAGCAAGAACAAACATGTTTTTCTCAGTAGGTTAACCAGAACAAAAAATGCAAAGGATTTTTAAAAAAAGCATGACAGACAAGGAGAGAAAGAAAATAGAACATCCTATAATCAGAATAATCAGTATGCTAATTGCAATGCAGTTAAGTGAAGAATGGGTATCATATTAGCAAAACTCTGAAAATCTATCAATGTAGGTACCAAATTCCCTGCCCTCTTGCTTTTCTGTGATGATGGTAGAAGAAGAAAATTAAAACAAGAAAATAATTATAAACAATGCAAAAAAGGTAAATGAATAGAACTTGTAAAGCAGAAGCAGTTAACATGGAAATAGTGCAATTAATATTTCTGACATGATTACCATTTAAATCACATGCTGCTTGATGTGTTATGATTTAGGATTAGAGTTTGGATTTTTTAAATAAAACTCTGGTGGTGTTAAGCTTATTAGATTCATATCCAAATCACTTCCAGTTTTTTTTTCTCAGTGCACATAAGGAGCACATTAGCTCAAGAAAACTCATAAAGAAAATCTCAAAGGGAGGAAGGGATTATCCTTTTTGAAGATAGCACTGAAGTTCTCTTTAGGAATGTGAGATGCATTTGATTTTCCAACTAATGATCCAGAGTCATTTTCAAACCCTGGGGGGGAAAAAGGTCTAGAATGGCTACTCTTTTTGGTGTTGATCATCTCGTGCCAGCTTAATTTTGATGCCTTTATGTAGTTTGCATATTTTCCAGAAAGTTACAGTGAACTGTAGCAGTTGACTTAAAATATCTGAATTGTTGTGCTTGTTGAACCAGGCAGCAGTGAGACACAGTATATTCAGTTTGGATGTACAGTTCAGATTTTGTCGCAGTGTGTGTGCCATGGATAAATCTATCTGATGGCAAAGATTAATCTCTCACAGACATGCTGACACAATCCATTTCAGAGCTGGGAAACTGTCCAGAGGATGCAAATGTTAAAAAAAAATGGGCAGAGATTATAATGTTTGAGCTGTTGCTGAAGCCAGGCCAAGCATATGTCTTCTCTACAAGCAAATTTCCCCTATCCTTCCACCCAAGGAAAAACCTTCTTTTTTAAAAAAAAATATTGAGACTAATTAGGTAAATCATATATTTTAATATTTGGATAGGTTTTTTTTTTACAATGAGAGAATTTGGTGCTAGTTATGAGCTAAATGCATAATCTGAGGCATCAGATTGCCTCTACATATTCTGAATGCTAAATACTTTATTTATTTAGGCAGCTTACATCTAGGCAGCTTACACGTATTAAAATACATACATAAAAACAATAATAAATACTGTTGAAAGGTGGGAAGTAGGGGAACACGAAGCACATAGGAAAAGGTGGGGTCTTTCCTAATCCAATAACCACCTCCAGAATGGTGGTGCCCCAGGCCAGCTGGCAGAGCCAGGTCTTCAGACCCTTACAGAAGGTCAGAAGGACAGGTGTGGATCTCACCTTTATGGGTACAGTGTTCCAAAGGGCAGGAGTCTTGGTAGACTAGACTCTTCTCCTGGACCCCATCAGCCAAAAATCCTTGACTGACAGGGTCCACAACATGTCTTCTCTGCCAGGATGGATGGTGTGAGCCAATCCTATTGGGATAAGACAGTAACTAAACATCAAGTCTTGGTACAGCAAAGTAACCCCAAATCATAACATTTCCATTACCATGCTTTACAGTAGACATCAGGTTCTTGAGGTTGACATCATTCTGAATATCTGTAGTTTTCACCAAATGTGTCTTCTGGTCCTGTGGCCAAATAACCCTCTCTTTGCCTCATCTGTCCAGAACACATTGTTCTAAAATACTGTTCTTTGCCTAGATGTTCATGAGAAAACTATTTGAAACCTTCTCCACTTGTAGATAATCTTCCGCACAGTAGAATGATTGATGTTCATTTATTTGGCAATCTTTTAAGTCCCTTTTAGGCATCTCTGATCTTTTTTTCCCCCTGAAGGCCTCAGATAACTTTTTCAATCTAGGCATGATGATAGCACACACTTCAACAACAAAGAGCAAATCAAAATAAATCTCTCAGGTTTCAGTAAGGCAGGTTCCAACCAGATCCTCTCTAATGATATTCTAATCATTTGCCCCTGATAGGATGCACCTGATTCTAATTTTAGGTATTTGAGGTAATGGTAGGGGCGTACTTATTTTTTCCACATGCAAAATTTGCTTTTATGTTTATTTAAATTACACAATGCACTACACAGAGCATGATATTTTATCCCTTTTATCAATCGGTATTGTTGACACACAAATCAAATATCTGTATGTATCATACCCCTTTGAGTTTATATGACCCATGTTATAAATCAAAGCAGTACTAGGAAACATTTTGATGTGAAATTATTGCAGATGTTTCTCTGCATGGTTTGCTGTTTTAAAATACCAAGCTCCATTATTAGTATAAGACAGGAAAAGTACATTCTGTTAGGTGGTATTCATTTGCTGTTTAGAGATGTAATTTGCGCGCAGCATAAGGCTTTGCATATATCTGGAATATGGCTGAATTCATACTTTGATTTTATTATATTTATAGAAACATTTGCATATTTATTACATTTCCATAATCATTTGCTTCTCAATCATTTTTCTGATATGCTAGTATTTCTAATCCAATATGCTCAAGTCTCCTATAAATAGCAATGAAAAAAGAGAAAGGTATGTCTTGTTGGAATAGAGCTGCTGACATCAAATAAACATGGCAGTGTTTGACTTGTACCCATGCACTACCTGAAAGATTCTGAAAAATAAAAACAATTGGCATATAAGATGGCAGACAGCAGATGTTGACATAAAGAAATGTCTTAAACATTACATGAATTGTGAGGTCAAATCAGAATTTCATCCCTGCAAACTCTGTGGGATTTCCAATGAGGAAGAATACCAGTCCAAACTGAGATTTTTAGGTGACAGATAGTGGAAAACACGAAAGAGTTTACGGAGTGAACATATTGGCTGTAGGCCAATTATTTCTTATTAGTTCGATATTTTAGATGACAAGGCATGAAGATTGCCTCACAATTTCAGTTCCTTAGTGAAAGTAATGTTAGAATAGCTAAACATTAAATGCATTTTTATTGATGAATTTGGAGTAAATTTAGGAATCACAATACAGGTAGTCCTCATTTTACGGCAAACCCACTTAGGATTAGGTTTAGGTCCCCTTGAATTTGGAGAGCAAACTGGACGTTGCCAATGGATTGGTAGCCCCTCGGTATGGTTAGGAGGGCGCTGATTTTTCGAGCCCCCCCCCCCCCTCCTCCACTTCCGGGGGAAATACATGGGGAAATCCCATTGGTGGGGGCAAACCCACTTAGGGTTAGGGTTAGGTCCTCTTGAATTCGGAGAGGAAAACAGACGTCACCAACAGATTCGTAGCCCATTGGTATGGTTTGGAGGGGGATGATTTTTTGAGCCCCCCCCCCAATCAATGCTTCCTGGTGAAATACATGGGGAAATCCCATTGTTACGACCACAATTGAAACCAACATTTCTGTTGCTATGTAAAACATTTGTTAAGTGAATTTTGTCCCATTTTATGATCTTTCTTGCCACAGTTGTCAAATAAATCACTGCAGTTGTTAAGTTAGTAACACAGTTGTTAAGTGATTCTGGCTTCCACCCATTGACTTGGCTTGTCAGAAGGTTGCAAAAGGTGATCACATGACTTAAGGACACGGCAACTGTTATAAATATGAGTTAGTTGCCAAATGTCCGAATTTTGATCACATGACCATGGGGGAATGCTGCAGTGGTTGTGCCATAAGTCACTTTTTTTCAGTGCTGTTGTAACTTTGAACAGTCAGTAAGCAGTTATTAACTGTTGTAAGTTGAGGACAACCCATAGCCAAAAAAATAAATAAATGTAATTATTTGTTTACTAAGAGGGAACTTTTTTCTTATTTCTCTGTTTAGCTAGCTATGGATTACCACAGTAACTTATAAATATATGATTTGTTCATGTCCCTTGTTTTCCTTTTTCAGGCCCTATAAATCATCTGGCTGGACCAGTGCTCCCAACGAACATAACAGTATGAGTGATTCTCAGTTCCTTTTTGGCTCTCAGTTTTGCTCAGAGAATTCACAGAGTGCATCAGCCTCAGCTGAATTTAGTATCCCACAAAGGCAGGACAAAGGTTCACAACAGAATTCTCAGGACGTGAGTCCATTGTGTAGCTTATGATATTACACAGCCTCAGTAATCAAAATTAGAATAGAATAGAATAGAATTCTTTTATTGGCCAAGTGTGATTGGACACACAAGGAATTTGTCTTGGTGCAAATGCTCTCAGTGTACATAAAAGAAAAGATATATTCCCCAAGAGTCAAGAATCATAAGGTACAACACTTAATAATAGTCTCATAGGGTACAATAAGCAATCAAATCATACTAGGAAACAGTCAATATAAATTGTAAGGATACAAGTGACAAAGTTACAGTCATACAGTTGCAAGTGGACTGGATGTGATGAGAGGGTTAACAGTAATAGTAATGCAGACTTTGTAAATAGTTGGACAGTGTTGAGGGAATTATTTGTTTAGCAGAGTGATGGTGTTCAGGGAAACTCTGTCCTTGTGTCCAGTTGTTCTGGTGTGCAGTGCTCTATAGTGTTGTTTTGAGGGTCGGAGTTGAAACAGTTTATGTCCAGGATGTGAGGGGTGTGTAAATATTTTCACAGCCCTCTTTTTGACTCATGCAGTATACAGGTCCTCTATCGAAGGCAGGTTGGTAGTAATTGTTTTTTCACATAGTGATATTCTTTCTGCAAAAGCTGGATGTTAAATATGAGACTCACAAAAATTCCAATAAAGCAACATAGGATAAGAGTTATAATTTACCCAAGATTCTAGCCAAAATGTTACTGATCAATGGGGTATTAGGTTTTTTTTTTAATTGTGTAGTGCAAATATTATTGGATAGTTCTAGATTTTTTAAAATGAAAATGTTTGTGATCATCAGTAAAAAAAATCATCTTATTTTCTCACATAAGAAATATTGTTATCTATTTTTTTATTTTCTTAGAAATATCTTAAGTGGCCATTGTAATCCATAGTAGCAAATCAGAACTTTTGAGAGGCTGCATTTACATCACAGTTTAGCACCAGAGTTGAGTAGGAAGAAGTTGCAGAGAGTCCCATGCTGTTTTCTTTCCTTTGTGCAATTAGGAGAAAAATGGGAGCTTCTATTTCTATTTTTTATTAACTTTCATGCAGTTTGTAATGGAAGCAACAAGATTCCTCTGTTTTTCATTACAAACCAACCTTTAAATAGGCAGTGAGGGGATTTGGCATTGTGCTATTTTCTGGAACTTTACCAGTTCACCAGAATATCTTAAAGAAAATACAAAAGATGCCAGCAGGCTGCCTGCTGGCTCCTTTAGTATTTAGTGTACATTAAATTTAGCCTTGGATATTCATTACCATAAGATCCTTGAAGTTGTAAATATTTTTGAAAAAAATACAATTCTATCTAGTGCACCCAATCATAAAAGTATATTTAGTGGTGACTGAATGCCACTGATTTGTCCTTTTCTTAATTTATGTTAAACACTCACATCTTTCATTTTTCCTGATAAAAACAGAACGATATCAGTATTTTTGCCAAATACCAGTCTAAACCACAGCTCTTTGGAAAAGAGGAAAAGGAAAATGTCTCCTTTAATAATTTTGCTGGAAGATTCAAAGGAGTCATGGAGCAATTTGAAGAAAATAAGAAAAAGATCAAGGAAAAATATGATAAGTATGCAAACATTTCTGCAAGCTGGGAAATAAATGTTTCCTCCTATTAAAGATAATACTGTACAACTATATATGCTCTACAAAAAATAGTTAATGTTTCTTAAAGTATTGTGTGTATGTTTGTTCTTATATTTGATATCATCCCTCCCTTTCTATTCAGGTGAGTACCATGGTCCACTAACAACATTTTAAAAACAACAAAAGACAGGAGTCTAAAAATAAACTAATACACCTTTTGTCCCAAAGGTGCTTTTCCAAAAGGAAAATGGACTTTCTTGATTTTTTTTCCTTGAAGACATTTCACTTCTCATTCAAGAAGGATTTATATTCTTTGCAGTCATCTGGCCATTGGGACTCTGAGAGTGGTTGAGGCCACTTGGGGGTTAATTTGTATTCTCGAGTCACCTGAGTCAGAGTGCAAATGGGTGTGGGACCTTTTTGGGACTGCTGAAAGGACAGTGTTATATAAACAGGAGACAGGTGGTGGGTCATATCCCTTCCCCTCTATTGAGAGAGGACTGCTCAATAGAACAGTTAGAACTGAGGAAGCTCCTTGGATGAGAAGCAAAAAAAAATTAAGGAAAATTTTTGAAAAGCACCTTTGGGACAATCGTGACCTGGATGACTGAGAATCTCCATAGACTTTAATCCACCTGTTGGAAGAGATATTCAGGTAGCCTTAACTTATCCACCACAATAGGCATTGGCAATTCCATCGTTAAGCAATGTGGTTGTTAAGCTTGATATCACTTGCCCGTACTGACTTATGACATCGGTTGCGGCTGCAGTTGTTAAGTGAAACACTGCAGGTAGTTAAGTGCAATTTGTGACCTGCTTTCAGGAACTGACTGTGAAGATTGCAAATGGCAATCATGTGATCACAGGAACACTGCGATGGCTGCCACTTTGAGGAGCAGTCATAAGCCTTGTGTTTCATCAGCACAGTAACTTTGAACAGTCACTAAGCAAGTGTTTGGTAAGCAAGGACCATCTGTACAGTTTTCAAGTGCAGAGTGAGGGGGCCAAGCTCAGCTCTCAGATTCCAGGGAATGTATTGCAGTGTGGAAGAAGACACCCTTCTGCATGCCAAATTCTATGATATAGGGTGCATATTCAACAGGTCACCTGAATTTGGATGGGAAATTGTCTAATAGGAAAGTCCACACTGAAGTAGCCTTTATAGTTACAAAGAATGATAGCATCTTGCAACAATGGCTTAAATTATTTGAAGAAGGACTTGCATCCTGTACTTTTATCCTTACTGTCTGCAAAAAAAAATTAATGGGAGAGGAATGGTGTCTTTGCAACCAGGAAGCTTCCATTCTGTTTACTGGTGTATGTATGTATGTATGTATGTACGTACGTATGTGTGTATAACAAATACGTATGCATGCATTGAAAATAAGTTCTAGGATTGGTAGTAGGTTGGGAGGGGGGCACATATTGAATGATGTCTGTGTACTTTCTTATTGCTTGTTTCATTGTATTCCCTGCATGTTTTCAAAGTTTTCAGATCTATAGACATTAGAAAGACTGAGGGTCAAATTTAAACTGCTTTCTGAGGAATTGGAGATGGGAAATGCGTATGTGAAAATGCACGTAAATATCAGTATATGCAAAATATAGAGATGTATATAAGCTCACTGGTTCCATTTATCTCTTCTTGTTAAATTCTGCATTTAATTAATTTGGCTGGTTAAAGTAATAATTTATACAACTGCTGACATTTCTGCTTTAGTGCTAGCCATCTGCCAGCATTTTAGAAAGACCCATCAGCTTGGGATTCTTACTAATGGAATTTATTTGGCTGTAAAAAAAGAATGTTTCATAAATATTTTAATATGGAATTAAGGCATTTCCAAGCCACATATTATTGTTTATTGCACAATCTCGTGAGATTCTCCTAATCTTTCCTATTCATTTTCTTCTGATTAATGTACATATGAAGTTTGTAATTTTCCAATATGTCTCTTTCAGTGACCTTTTAAATGCTTTTATTTTGAACACCAAAGAGAGTCTTCAAAAGGTAAGAGAAAGTTTGATTGTCAAAAGGTGAACGTAGGGGGGGAAAGTTGCACTACATTTTGATGTTTTGTCTTTCTTACTACTGTGTGATCAAAATGCAATTGCAATTTCTCCATTGATTCAGCTGAAAACATTGAATGCTCAGAACACATAATAAAATAAGTGAATACCCATCAGCCAACAACATTATTAATTTATTTTCCAGTTGCAGTCTTCCTTCAGTATGTTAGAAGAAACTCTGAAATCTGTTTTGAATGATTTGGGAAATATTTCTAAAACAAGTAAGTATGTGGAATATTTCTGTATCCAACAGAAAATAAAATCAAATGAGTTGCTGTACTGACCCATTCCATTGTGGGAATATTTCCTGATGGTATGGTTTCCCTGCATAATCTGTATCTATCTATAGCTACAGTATATCTATATATCTAGGTCTGTCTGTCTGTTTATCTATATCTATCTATCTATCTATCTATCTATCTATCTATCTATCTATCTATCTATCTATCTATCTATCTATCTATCTATCCATCCTTACTGCCTTTATTATTTTTATAAACAACTCAAGGCAGCAAATATACATAATATTCCTCCTCCTATTTTCCCCACAATAAGAAACCTGTGAGGTTGGGAGACAGTGACTGGCCCATATTACCCAGCTGGCTTTTATGCCTAAGACGGAACTGGAACTCATAGTTTGTAGGATGGTGCCTTCACTAGACCAAGGAAGATTGCTGAAAAATTCCTGAAAGACTGGGCAAGCAATACCCATCAGTCTTGATGCCTGTATATGATATCCCAAATAATATCTTAAATAATAGCTGTTTGGAGAAGCATTGAAAAAGAACTATTTTGATACTTGCTTGTTTTTCTCACCTTCCCAAACATATTTTGCTGGTCATTGTGTGATACAGAATGCTGGACTTCTTACCTGATCTAGCAAGGCTGTACTTGTGGTTTTACCAGATGACTGCTATGTAGCTATAAAAAAGAAGGTTTTATGAGCTGTGATTTTCCAATCAAGGAGTGAGTGAAATCTTATTTTCTGTGAGAGGTTGTTTGTTTTCCTATGTTTAGGCCATATGAATAATTTAATAAATGTTTTATTCTGCCCTGTTTTGATTGCTACCTCACTTATTGGTAATATTAATATTATATTTTAACACTTATTTGAATAGTTATTATGATGAAGGCCAATATTACAGAAACAATACAAGATACTAAGAAGTAGAACAAGTACAGTATTTCAAAGAAAATCAAAGTAGGATGTGCAAGGACCATGAAAATATCTAAAATACTAGGAAGGAGAATTTGGAGATATATCATAGCTTTCTATATAGCTATATTTACTCATCAGGTATTACCTTGAAACTGCAGTTCTTTGTTTTCTCCAGAACATTCACACAGCTATAAACCACTTGGCAAAGAAAACATTCTATTTAGATAGTAAATATACTAAAAGTGATTCACTGTAAAACTCCTGCATCCTTCACTTGGCCATCTGGAATTCTTCCTACGCTTCCTCCTCGTTCCTTTTTTTTTTTTTTTTTCAGTAGTTATCTTGGAACAAATCCCAGGACTAATCTTTTTAGTCCTCCCAAGTTCTGGAAAAGCACACTTGACATTTACCACAAGCACAAATCACAGCAGAACATTATATGCATAATGAAAATGAATCTACTACTTTCAATATATTGCACTCTCCAGTCACATTGATTCATCTCTGCAAGACTGCTAATAAATATGTTTTTTGACTTGGTAAAGGTTAAATATTTTCCTACCATCCAGTGGTTGGGATTCTACTGATTTAACAACCGGTTTGTGTGCTTATGTGTGCTTTGCACACACAGTGTTTAGAAACTGCCAATTTACAGCCCTAAAACTTACTTTCTACTGAAGCACTGGTGAGTAAAACAGCTGAGAAGCAGCAATCCGCTGTGCCGCACCTCAGCTGAGCTGCAAAACATAGAAATATAGGACAGACTAGGGCAGGGGCGGGTGAGCAGGGCCAATTGACCGTCGTTCATACTGGTTCGCCTGAACCGGTAGCAGCCCACTCCTGCTATCATCCAAATAACAAAGATGGAGACGTGGAAAGATACTGCGTTCTCTTTTAAAGCCCACTGTCTTGGCCTTCTGATTGTAGTTCATGTTTTCCTTCAAAATATTTAAGAATGCAATTGTCCCTTCAAAAAAAATGTGGAAGAAACTCTTTATATTCATTTATATTGGTCAGTAGAAAAGCAGCAATGAATAAACTGGTGCGTTAGATTTCACAGATGCCATCAGATAGCCAGAGTCCCTAAATGCTATGAATAGAACTTTACTGTTTTGAGATTATGACCTCCAATAAAGGAGGCAACGATTTAGCTTCCGCTGAATATGCATTCCCAGCTAAACAAGTTCTGCTATCTATTTTTGGCTCTGTGTTTGTGCAGTTCTTCAGCGATTGAATCATTGCATAGACATGCACCATTGATGAGCACAGTAGGAACAGTGTTATAATAAAGGCTTCAGAAGACATTTAAGCACTCCATGTTGCTGTGCAAAGATGTCTCTTCACTGCCAGAGCTTATAATAAAATGTTATAGATAGCTTAATCTTTAAAAAAAAAAAAACTGATTTTTTTTCACAGCCATAAAAACATCATAAACATATAGATCTACTTAGTTATTTAAACTAATTGTAGCAGGGTAAAAGAATGGAGGTCTCATACATTTTCTCACAGAAGTCTTATGGATCTTCAGATCCTGGCCCACCCTCCCTGGGTTAATACTTCTTATTGTCATCACTTCTTGTCCAAGGTGTCTATGGAGATTCTCAGTCATCCAGGTCATGAGTGTCCCAAAGGTGCTTTTTTCATGAGGCAATTGGACTTTCTGGTTTCTCATCCAAGAAGCTTCCTCAGCTCTGACTGGGTGGTGGGAAATGGAAGGATTTATACTCTTTGCAGGCAGCTGGTCATTTGCATTTTCCAGTCTACAACACAGTTTTTTCAATAGTTCCAAGAAGGCTCCATACCCATTTGCACTACTCAGGCAGCCCTGACAACATAGAAAAACCTCCAGGTGGCCTCAACAACTTGCTGAAAGAATGTAAATGACCAGCTGTCTGTAAGGAGTATAAATCCTTCCATTCCCCACCACCCAGTCAGAGCTGAAGAAGCTTCTTGGATGAGAAGTGAAATGTCTTCAAAGAAAAACCAGAAAGTCCAGTTGCCTCTTGAAAAAAGCACCTTTGGGGCATTATTGTCCAAGGGTTACCTCATGTAGAATGCATTGGAACTGGGTGGCTTACTAATTCAAATAAATACATAAATAAGTACTTCTTATGAGACAGGGTTGCCACAAACTATGTTGTTTTTTTCTGGCAAATTATGAGAGAGACATAAATAAATAAATACTCTATAGTCCCACCTGGCCTTTTGACTCTGAAGCATATAGCTATGGAAATCAGCCCTACTTTCCCCTCTTTGGGAGACAGATCAATCTCACAAGAAATAAATAAGAATCTAACTACATTTTTAAAAAGTATATAAAACTCCCTTTTTAGCCGTAAGTATTCATATCAAAAAATATTCACTGGCAAAAGGAGATAAAAAATGCAGAGCTGTGCTGTACTTGATCTTGCAGCTGCCCAGGGCCAGCCCATAATATTTGGAAAAAACTCATTTCTGCCTTCTTTCTCTTCTACTGTTCTCATGACACAGCTTTGTTTCCTGCCTGAATAAAATAACAGTAAAACGTGTATTTTAAAAAATTAACATATGTAGCTAAGTTCAGTATGGAGAAACAGAAGGATTGCTAGTTAATCAGCTCAGATTCCCACCATGTATATAATAATATAAGTCTTATGATACTATAAGACACTAGTGCTGGCCACCTGTAGATTTAGATTTAGATTTATTTGATTTGTCAATCGCTTAGGTATAAGTATAAACATAATTATGAATACATGAAATGGATACATACAAGAAAAATAAAAGAAACAATAGGCTAGGGATGGTAGGCCCATTGGTGCGCTTATGCACGCCCCCTACAGTCCTCTTAGGAAAGGGGTGAGGTCAACAGTAGACAGTCTAAGGTTAAAGTTTTTGGGGTTTGGGGAACAAACCACAGAGTCAGAGTATTCCAGACATTGACCACTCTGTTGCTGAAGTTGTATTTCCTGCAATCAGGTTTGGTGCAGTTAACCTTGAGTTTGTATCTATTGTGTGCTCTTGTATTGTTATGGTTGAAGCTGAAGTATTCATTGACAGGTAGGACATTGCAATGTATGATTTTATATACTATACTTAGATTGGACGGAAGGCGGCGTAGTTCTAGGTTTTCTAGGTCTAGAATTTCAAGTCTGGTGGCATAAGGTATTCTTCAACGAGTAGAAGAGTGTAGAACTCTTCTTGTGAAATATTTCTGGAATTTCTCAACTGTGTTAATATCAGATATGTAATGTGGGTTCCAGACTGATGAGCTGTATTCGAATATTGGTATGCTCTAGTTAGTAGTGTAATATTACCAGAGAAAAAGCTACGTAAGATTAGGTTAACAACTCTTAATGCCTTTTTGGCTATGTAGTTACAGTGGGCTTTAGCACTTAGATCATTAGAGATGAGTACTCCAAGGTCCTTGACAGAGTTTGGATCATCAACAAGGTCTTGACTATTCAGCTTGTATTTTATTTTCTGATTTTTTTTGCCAATGTGTAAGACAGAGCATTTATTTGTTGAGATTTGAAGTTGCCATTTGTTTGACCATTCTGATACATAGTCGAGGTCTTTTTGAAGGGTAACAGTATTGTCTATGGTGTTGAATAGCTTTACATCATCAGCGAAGAGAACATAGTTGTTCTTAATATGATCACAGAGGTCATTTATGTAGAGTAATAAGAGAGTTGGTCCTAGAACACTTCCTTGGGGGACACCACTATTGATAGGTACAGAATTTGATAGAATGCTCCCAATTTTTGACCATTTGTTGTCTGTTTGACAGGAATGCTTCTATCCAGTTATGCAGTTGTCCAGAGATACCATAAGATTTTAGTAGTAGTTTGTCGTGTACCACTGATTTCCTACTGGATTACTGTACATTATATGAAAATTTTCCTAGAATTTCAACTGAAAAAAAAAATCAAGATTCTCATTAAAGGAAAAAATAAAAAATGAGACCTCATATTCAGATACAATAATTTCAGAAAATGGATGGATTTTGTATAAATAGTATTAGAAGCCAGACTAAAAGCATCAGTGCTTCCCCTGCTGCTTAAACTAATAAGCTCAAAACAA